CATAAAATGTAAATAGTAGGAACTTGAAGTAATCAATTGTAAATAACTTTTCACTTCATTTTATTATTATAGTTTGAAGAATGCCGTAACTGTGAAAACCAGTGCAGATTATACATGAGCAACACTGTTAAACCATTTTTCAGTGAGATAATTGTAATTTTTCCATGGGTTTAATGAAAATAAAAAAGCTGACTAATCACAGAAATAATGATTAGTTGATTAGAAACAAGTGCTCATCTAGAACGTTTGGAATTTGTGTTACAGCAGTTCATATTTTCAACTTAAATATCAAAATATTACAGAAAGTTAGCAAATCGGTAGCAAGTATGCAGGTGCTTCAGTATTGTAGTGGGCACAATCATCAACAGACACGTTTGTTTTATAAGAGGTTAAAAGTAATTTGTTTTAACCAGCGTTTCAGGATCATGAGGACATTCTCAGAGTCATGTCTTGGTGAAGCAGCAATGAAAAACGTGTTTCTTGATTATGTAAATAAAAGCATTTAAGAGCATATTTTAGCCAAGAAAGCTCATTAGCAAATTCTAGTTTAAGGCTTCTATAGGAGAACAACAAGGAGACATGTTTCAAACTTTTACTAAAGTGCTCTGATCCTGGATCTGGGAAGGTTCTGGAGTGGCTGGTCTGAGGAGCTGGAGAGTGATGATGGAGAAGCAAGACAGAACATCTTCAGAAGCTCCTGTAAGACAAGTATAACAGTCGTTAAAAAAAACAACAACAAAAAAAAAAACAATAGTAAATACTGAAAGTGGATGAACTTAAGAAGAATGGAGTTTTGGACAGAAAGAGCACTGATGTTCCAGCTGGACTCACGAGCCACGAAACGAGGACAGACTGATACGGGGCAGCCACACTTTTAAGTAATCATCAGGTCTGACTGAAACAGCGTTTCTATCTTTTACAGGTGGACAGAAAAAATAATAATGTTGACACATTGTTGATAATATTACTACATTTCAAGGCTTTTCAATACAGTGAAATTAGTTGAAACAGAGCCGAGTTGTATTAGAAAACAGCAATCCGCACAGCCCGACAGCCCGGCGAATCTGGGATGAATTAGTGCTGCCTCAACCTCCTCGTCTTTCATTGGGTCACTGGAGTTTAAATTAAGTGGATGAGAAACCCATGGGGAGGGCTCTGCATAAATGAGAGTAAAGTTGAATTTTAAACGCGTTAAAACTGTCACAAAGTGGCGTTAAAAGCGGCGTTTTATGTCACAGAGCGGCGAAATAAGCGGCGTTCAATGTCCGTACCAAACGCCGTATTTTACGCCACCCACACAGAGAACGCGTCTGGGATTAGGGTGACGTAAAAAACGGCGTTCATTGTCCGGAAAAAACGTCGTATTTTACGGGCGTTCTACGGGACCGTTCAGAACGGCGTCAATTACGGCGTTCTGGCAGAGTTTTCGCCGTATTTTACGAAGTCTTGGCACATCAAACGGCGTTTTTTTTCGCGATTTCTTAACTAGACGGGTTGGGAAAGTGGCGTATTGTGACGGTTTTGGCTTGCCATACTCCGGCAGTGCGGCGCCGTGCGCCACCCTCTGTTCCGGCGTCCGGCAAACATACAAATAGGAGAGTCTCAAAATTCAGCACACCGATTTCACTCACAAACGCAGAAAGGTTCACAAATGAGAAGCTGTTCGTAAATGCACATTCAGCAATTCGTATGATCTGAGTTTATATTACAAGTGTTCTTACAAATTATATTTGTGAACCACAGAGTGTGAACTTCAGAATTAGCGTGTGCATTTGTGTAAAATGTTGCGTGACTTATTTTTTCACATTATATTTATGAGTCAAAGAGTGTGAATTTCCGAATGTGCGTGTGCATTTGTGTTCCTCCGAATTATATTTGTGAAACACAGAATGTGGATTTCCGAATGAACGTGTGCATTTGTGGAAAACGATGTGTGACTTAATTCTTATTGAGACTGTTCTGGCCTCATAGAAACGGGTCAAGTTCGACATTTTTGGGGAAGGGAAGACAGGAAATCGGACGCGGAAACGGAGCGAAGCTCCTGAGATTTTCAGAATAAAGAATGTACTGCCTTCCGGTTGCTTTACTTCTAAAAAAGGTTACTAACTGTCAGTGTTGGGGTAACGCGGTACAAAAGTAATTAACTACTGTAATGCATTGCTTTTTGCTGTAATGTGGTAATGTAAGGCAATACATGGAAAGAAAATGGTAATATTTACTCAGTACAATTGTCAGTAACACGGTAATTACAATGCATTTTTAAACCCAGAATCAAGATGCGGGTTTCCTAAAAATTCAAACGGCAGGAAGCCTGAAAAAAGATCCAGTATCCACATATATGACGTCATTTATGGACTCAGCTTTGCGGGCATTCTATGAGCAGAGAGGACGCAGCGGTAACGGCTCAAATACTCCAGCTGCGTCCTGCGCGTGGCCGCTGTTATATTCACAAAATCGCTCCACCAAAACAAAGTCATTCATTTGCAATCGTTTATATCAGCCCATATTCTCTGGTACTTCATGTACTTTTCAGCTGAGTTCATAATCTGTGCCCCGGTGATTTCAACTCATTGCTGCTGGAGCATGTTAAGCTTTTTTTGTTGCGTTTGGTAGATCCCTTTGGCTGATTAGTTAGAAAGTAGGAAATCTAGGAAACGGTTTTTCTGGAAGACGGAGAAAACATGCAGCATGCAGGAAGGTTAGAGAGAGAAAAAGGGCCGGAAATTATTCACGTAAAACCAAGAAAAAAAGAAATAAAGTAGGTAGATTTGTCCCCAATACACATTTTTACCAGTGAAAAGCAATAATATATAAGCATTTAATATTTATACATGTGATAGAATCAGATCACCCCAGAAGTCAGTCCCACATCCAGGGCCGTATCAAGGCATTTGGGGACCAAGGCAAATATAGGCTTGGAGCCCCCCACCACCTCACTCCCTGCTCAGATGGCCCTATAAGATGGCAGCGTGCTGAGAGTACAGATTGTTGTTGCTTTTATTTAATAAACAATAATTTTAAAGCACTGTTATTATATCTGACTGTTTTTAACAGCAACCCTAGCTCAGACACCACATCACCTTCCACATATATGTCATGAGCTCACTGAGCGTCACATGACCAGATTCATACTGAAGTTGTTTTGGTGAAAGTAACTTAAAGTAATGCAAAAGTAGTGTAATGCCTTACAGTTTAAAATCAGTAATATTGTAATGTAATGAATTACTTTAAAATGAGGGTAACAAGTAATAAATAATGCATTACAGTTTTGAAGTAACTTGCCGAACACTGGTAACTGTGCGGCCCCGTGAGAAGTTATCACCTAGCTAGCGGTCTCCTTTGTTTTTCAGGTCCGTATTGACGATTATAAAACGGACAGAACATAAAACACAAACTTTTTGGAGCCATGTTGTAGTTTTCTCCTGCTTGTTGTTGTGTTTACTGACGAAGTCACTCGTGTGACTTCGTGCTCTGTCGGTGACAGCTGCTCCCCTGCTGCTTCGCGTCTCATGGGAAGGGCCAAGCAGCAGCTTACGCGAGCCAGACGTGCTGCTGCCGGCTCCGGTGGAAAGAAGGGGTCAGATGTAGCCTAATGGCCTAATATTGATAGAAAAAGTTAACAGTTCAAATTTAATTTCCTGCCATGTGAAGAAAACAAAACACAATAATAAAAAAAGGAGAACACGTGAGAATAAACAAAAAAAAAAGTTGAATGGCAAGAAAATCAACAACCAAAGTTGAAAAATTGAGAGAAAAGTAAATAAATAATAAATTAGTCTTAAAAACTGAGTTTCGGGGAAAGACCGAGAAAACAAACTCTAATGTGCTCTGAAGGAAACTATTAATTCTGTTCATTATTATTATTTTTACCAAAGGTTCTGGAGACTTTGAGTTATTTTTGGCTTCTAGCGGCATCTACAGTGGAAGATAGACAAAATGTCCACTGGGTATCATGAACCTATCATGTGACCCTGAATTAGGTTGTTTTTGTTTACTAACATAATGCCAAGAACAAATGGACAGAAAACACCAGGACTTTAAAAATCTCAGTTAGCACACAGCAGGCAGACATTTGGATGAGAGCTGGGGAAAACAGGTGTGTTCCGTTTAGTTCTGCTTGAAGTTTCACAGAACCGGAGTGTACAGCAGCAGAAGTGGAAAACAGCCCTCAGTAAACAACCCGTGCTTCCTCTACTTTCACAAACGAAGAGGTCTGCTGTGAAAAAGGCGATTATTAAATGTCAATTCAGGATGCGTCTGACAGGACCATTGCCCACCATCATCAGCCTTGCTTCTGTCAAGGTTTCCCAGGACGGCTGTGGGTTCAGTGTAGCTCATCACCATCAGTGTGGGAATGAGAAACTGTAGTGTTAAATCCTGACTCAGAAAAGTGCATTATTAATCACTACAGAATAATAAAAGTGCAAACTCTTACATGGAACAGAGGAATGTGTTTATTAGAGAACATATTTACAGGTCACAACACGGTTTGTGTGTTAGGAGATACAAAAACAAAAAGATGAGAAATACTGATCTAAACAGTAATAGATGATGAAAGCTTTATGAACATGGTGACAGGACATCAAAATCACAGTACGATGATTGTTCTAATGCTACAGGAAGGACTGGCAGGACAGTTCACACATGTAGGCTGATGTCCTCAAACGTCCACGTTCCTTCTAACCAGGAACATAAAGGCATAATATGGCTACTTCTTTGATAATCAAAGGCAGTGAAATTCAGGAAGAGCCCAACTTTAACTCACCAATCCCTGAAACAAAACATCAATAGCAGCACGTTTCTTCTTATCGTTTAAAATGTGGCATGCACCACACGCTGCCTCCAAAGTGCTCCTTTACAAAGACAGACGTGGTCAGTTCAGACTCTGGTACCCAGCATCAGGCTTCTGACAGGCAGTAAGGTGCACACCGCGTAGTCAAGTACATTCACACTGAAGGGAGCTTCGCTGCAGCCAACAGGCCGGGGAAGTGCAACGGCCACCTGGGACAGAGCTGGACTTCAGTTCAAACTTAAGGAATGTGTGGAGAAGGTAAAGCAACAACCTTCAGGTTGTTTTTCTCTTCAACGAAAGCAGTCCAAGCACAACAGGGCTGAACTATATAACGAGCTTATAGAGAGAAAGTCCAGTTCCAAGTGTCTACAGCTTTGGTTGGGCAACACAACAGACAGGGTTCTCCACTGTTCATCTGATCAGGTCCCATCATAAGGTCCAGAAGCCTTTGTGATTAGCTTCACGCACAAACTTAGCCTCAGTAGATCGTAAGGCTGACCGACCGATTCATCTTCTTTCCAATGAGCCTAGATGATCTGGGGTTGGACTGGACTGTGGAGCGAGTCAGGATCCTGTCCGTGGACAGAACCTTCTCCTCGGCTGCTGCTCTGGCTAGCTGGGCTTTCTTCAGCTCTCTGAGGGAGAGAATCAGAAATGTAACATCTACCATCATCTACAGAGTAAAACACCAGCACAGGAACATCATTACACTTATAAAAAGACGTTTGTTAACTTAAGTCTTCACACGGTTTCAGCAGAACACAGAACCTGTCTCATACCGGGAGAACCAACGTCTACTTTTCTGAACTACTTACTTTTGAAGCAAGGCATTCTTGAACTTCTCTGCATTGAGCTCAACTCTCAGTTGGTCCGCACTCATCCTGGCAGCCGTCAGAAGAACTGAATGTTTTATGAGGTCAGAGGCCGATGGGCGTCTGGTAGGGTCAGGATGGATCATCAGCTGGAATAAATGAGTTGAAAATACACAATCAGAAATGTATAAAACCAGAATAATAATAATAATAATAATAACAAAACCAGTGAAAATAAGCCGCCTAGTTCTACTCAAAGCACATCTCATTTCCATAAACATGCTGTGTGTTTGGGGGAATTACCTTGAGCAAACTGGGGAACTCTGGAGAAAGCACCTGTGGTATGGAGGGCAGCTTGCCCAGTCTGATTTCATGCCACTTTTCCCCATTTGTGGGTAAAGGCTCAGCTCCAGAGGCACTGATGACAGTCAGAGCCAAAGCAAAGATGTCTGCCTTGGTCAAGTTACTGTAGTCCTAAAAAGATGAAAGAGGATGTAAAACTGCACACACGCAGCACTTTGCTCTGGGTAGGGTTACAGACCTCTTGTAGAACTTCGTTGGCTAGATATCTACTGTCACCCTCCTCGACCTGTGGATTGTTTACTCGGGTCACATGACCAAGATCACCTGAAGAGTGGAATAAGAAGTACAGAATTTAAACGTTAGAAGCATGACATTACAGAAACCACCAACATGGTTGAACTGTGAGCACATCTCACCAATCTTGTAGATGACACTAGTCGCTACACCATCCTCTTCATCCACGTCATCACAACTTGGTACAGGTTTCCGTGAGATGAAGATGTTACCTTAGGAAAAAGTCCATTTAAGGCCAGGAAATAATATAAAAATGCCACAAAGGCTTGTGTTAAAGTTGGTTACTCTGGTGCACAGTCGTGAACGAGCACTCACTAGGTTTGATATCCATGTGCACCAGGGACATGGAATGGATGTACTTGAGCCCGCGTGAGACTTGCAGCAGCAGATCTTTCAGCTCCAGCTCAGATAAGTAGGACAGGCACCTGAAGTTTTCTGTGATGACATCAGACAGCGTGCCACCATTGCAATACTCATTCTGGATGAGCATGTGGTCGTCCTCGGCCCAGGCGGAGTAGTACCGCACCACGTGTGGATGTTGGCCCAGCACGGCATGGGCATACACCTCCCGCAGGGCGTTTTGCCTGAAACCAAGTGAATAACCAGGATTATCTGTGTCTTTGGAACAAAATATCAGAACTGGATCCATGTACTTACTCATCCACTGATCCTGCCAGGGGCTTCTTTGATCTCTTGATAGCGTAGATGCAGCCGTCGAGCCTCTTCACGCACTTAAACACAGCACCAAACTCCCCTGAGCCAATCTTTTCCAGCTCAAGGAACTCTGAGGCATAGCGCGACATGGTGTTGCTCTCGATCATGGTGATCCTCTGAGGGTGGAGGGCGTGACACATTAGTGGAACGTTAACCTAGGATTGACTTGTTCTCCTGTTGGCTTACAAAAATCACTTTTAGCAAAACAATAAAAAATGGATTTCTCCAAAAAGTTTCAGAATATTTTACAAACTGACTGGAAACAACGATTCAGCGTTTCCACACTGCTCTACAAAACTTCTGTATAAAGGTCTACTGATATTTACGCAATGGTGTAGTTGCTGCAGCTGGCCTCACAACCCCGGTTTCACACTGCAAGCACCAGCGGAATGGAACGCAGCGAAGCACCACCGCTTCAAACAGAATCCAATTATGGTCTATGGAGTATTTCAAACCAGCCGCCACTATTTCCAGGCGCGTCCCAGAAGCGGCATGCCGCGCCGCTAAAGATGGGATCGACTTCTATTTTTACCGCGAGCCACCTGGGACACGTCGATTCCCGCAGTTCACATAGTGCAAGACAGGAAACCACACTGTTTGTAAAATCCCCGGTTATTTTCAAAATAAAATGCAACGTTGCGATGTTATGTGTAACTTACGTCAGCACGTGCGACTGAACGGCTCTGTTTACCACCAGTTTCTTTCGAGAAGTGCAACGGTGTGATTCCTCATGGGGGTTGTGATCTCTCAATGAGGAAGGTGTCGGAAGTCTCGAGGGATTTTGGAATCTCGCGGGTACAGCGAGGCGCAGCGAGGAAGCGGTGCCGTGGCCCAGACTCTTCCGGTGTGAAAAGGACCGCTTTGAAGTTCGCCGATGAGCCGCTGTTCCGTTCCGCTGATGCTTGCAGTGTGAAACCGGGGCAAGTCTCCTCCCCTTCCGGCCGGCTCACGGGTCCCCGGAAGAACAAAAAAATAAATGCAAGTCAACGGGGCTAAAAGAGCTATTTTCTAACCCGCTTTGCCTTACGCCCTGGATCACACACGTCGTACTGCAACTTAAATGAAAACTAATGATGGTGTTTCGACCACACCAGTCACGTACTTTGAGACTTATCAGCTTGTAAAAGATCGTAATTAGTATGAAAACAAACTAGAAATCGGCACGTCACCATATAATCTTCTCTCCCCTAACGTAGCTACTCACCACATGACCAGAGCTATGGTGGGTCTTTCCTCCTGTGGGAAGTTTGCTGAACTTGCAGCCCTTCACCCTCAGTTTTCTCCGTGTCTGGTTCGATGACGTCACTTTCGTGATGCATTTGTGGTCCTGGACTCATTTTCACACGAAACCTAAGATAGTGTTTCCCCCCGTTTAAAAATAAGCGCGTTCTTGGTATCAAAATGTGTATTTAAAATTCACAGACAGCATGTGTGAAATCCATGGCACAACACAAGCGGATTTAGAAAATAGCCTCTTTAGCCCCGTTGACTTGCATTCATGTGTTTGTTGTTCAGGGACCCGTGGTGCGGAAGTAGACGGGCGTGACTTAGGATCCTTATAAAGTTATGTCAAAAAGAACCATCTCTTGATGCCACTTAGCACCTCTTTCTCACTGAATCATAATTGTAACTAACCACACCCAGGTGGAGTACTTTAAATGTTCTGTGTTTTTACTCTTAAAGTGACCGTGTATTATGCCTGGCGATAGGGGGCAGTACATACCTACATCACTGCAAACAAGCAGTATTTTTGCGTTTGAGGACGACCGTACCAACGGATGGTCATTAGGGTCAAAAATCCCTGGGAGTGTAATTTCGAACATGTACTTTGTAAGATCATTCAGCCTCCCGCAATATGACAAGCACATCATCACTGACAAAGGCTGAAGAGGGAAATGAGTAACAACAATGTTTATGAATGACTAAGGGTTTGTTACAGATCAGAAAAAGTGTTTTGTCCTCATGGGCTCCCGTAGAAGGAAACATGGAGTCTAATGTGGCGTCATCCAGAGGCTTAGGCCCAATCTCAATACTTGCACTGTGCCCTGCGGTCTTCAGCAACGTGCACTTGGAGAGAGTGGCTGTAAGGCTTCGAGTGTGTAGTACACAAGTGTGCAAATAAATGCAGGATTGAGACAGGGAGCATTGTGTCATCGACCGCAACGCACGCCAGGATTCTGGTCGCTGTGATAAAATCTTTAACAAAAAAACTTATTTGAAATAAATTTACATTCATTGCTGCTTCGTCTAAAAGTTTCAGAGCACCAGCTAATCGTCCTAAAATTGACAACTTTCATTAGAAAATACATATTTTCAAAAAAGGCATTTGAGTCTTTTCTCCTGCTGCTACGGATTGTAGGTAATATCAAGGGTGCAAGTGAGAGTATTGAGATTGGGCCTTAGACCCACTCCTGTGTATTTCAGACCCAATTTTTATCAGATACAAAACAGCCACTATTTTCAACTACTGGGCATCATTTAATACATTTTCAACAACATTTTCATGGATGTTTCCAAAGAATATTGGTAACAACCACACGTCTTTAGCACAGGTCATGATGGCATGTTTTTTTTGAGATCTTCCAGTCTACTTCACGCCATTTGTTTGGGGTTAGGGGTTTTGTTTCCACAGTAAAGGGTCAAAATGAAGAAATCTATGAAGGGGTAAAAGTTTCATTTACCTTCGATGGTGGGAGGACTTCATCCTTGCCTTCACCGTCACTTGCCTCCATGTCTTCTCCACAGGAGCTGAAACAAGGGGATATTTGGTTAGCATTCTATCCAGCAGGGGGCAGCACAGTGCCTTCACAAGCACATGTCTGAGTTCATCAGTAACCATGAGGTCTTGACTTCCAGCCAACACCCCCTAGTCCTAATCAACAAACGGCCTTAACATCACTGGTCTGCCTCAACAAAGGCCTCATTGTGTTTTACAAAGAACAGGTGCAGCTGCTCGACCCTGCTCTGCAACGTGTGATGATCTCTGGCAGCACCTCAGGAACAACTAATACATAAAATAGATATTTCAGCTGATCTGGTCCTACAGAACAGTATCTTCATACATAACAAGTACTGACAAGATAATCTAGAATCTGAGAACCCCTGAGCAACATACTCGTTCCAGTGTGCTCTCTTCCTGTTGTTCCTCTCCTGTGTGGCTGACTGGATGATGAGGGAATCGGGGGTGAAGGGGTTAAAGTTGACCAGCGGGATGTGCGGTCTCCTGCCACTGTCCGAGGCTGGCTTTCTTGGAGACTCAACATTTTTAAAAAGAGCAACTCTTCTGCTGGAGGATCCTGGTGCAGAACCTCTGGCTCTGGAAAGCAAACTCTGCAAAAACAGGACCAGTCGTTACTAAACGCACAAAACAAAACATCTGCTTGAACTCACGTTGACTTGATTTCAAATAAAGAGTAAAGTTTTGGTGTCTTGTCTAATGCAGACATGTCTGGACATAAAGCTGCATGGACTCTGACCAACAGGCTTATGCAACAGGTACATTAATGGGTCACCGGGCTGATACCAGACTCTAGCGCAGTGAATGGGCTTTTGGAAGTTTTACAACAAACGGATGTTTTATATTAAAACGTGCGCCCCTAACAGGGCAGCTTTTAAAGCTAGCTGTGAATGAATAGATCAAACTTGCAAAAAATGAAAATAAATAAAAAAAATTCTTAATGTTTAGTAAACTCATGTTTCTACGGAGACACATGAAGATGTTGTTGTCTACACAGATCCTGACCTTCGGGGTGTGCGGCGTGTCAAAGAGCCGGAGTTTCCTGAAGGTTTTGTGCGGAGGTGTGTCCGGGCAGTCCGGGATCGGAGAGCTGGATCCTTCTCCGTCGTCCTGGAAGCTCCTTCCAGCTTCAGGCGACCCTCCGAACAACCGGGACACTTTCTTGGATGACGGTGAACAGTTTTTAAAAATAACACTGCTCGGTGAACAGTTTTTAAAAATAACACTGCTCGGTGAACAGATTAGAGACGGGGAACCGAGACTCTCCTCGTCCCACAGCTCCACGTCGTCGTCCCCACCGGACTGATTCAGGGGGCTGCAGCTGCCCTCCAGCCGCTTCCCGACAGTGTCCCGTCGCAATGGCGTGGGGGAATCCATCTCCGTGAAGCCGGACTCTCCGCCGGTGCTGTTGTTCACATCCTCGATAGGGTCGTCCTCTCCATCGCTGGAAGTGAACTTTAACTTCTGACGGATGGGTCGAGACTTAGGGGAGGGGGTTCCGTGTCGATGGCGACTGTAACTCGACATTTTCAAGATTTAAACCCCGAGATTATCGACCAAAAAATTAAAAAAAAAAAAAAAAAAAAAATACCGGGGATACCCACCACAGAAAAGTAGTCTGCTTCTATTTACCTTCACGTAAAGGTATCGGTTAAGACGTTTTTTAATCTCCAGCGTTAACTTTCTTCTTGCTAACTCCCAACAACACGGGGAGAAACGCTAAGAAATGGCCTCTCACGAGCCGTATTCCATGTAACGTCCAAAGTATTAAAGTAAAAACGAATAAAAGTACTCAGTCCGTTAACTCCAGTGCGGCTGTCCGGTCCACCGACGTCCCGGTGACTCACCGACGTCTTTCCTCGATTAAACCTTACTTATGTTTACAAAAAGTTTTGAATGAGTCAAGCAACGAGTTCTTCCCGTGACGCGCGTGGCGAAGAACTTCCCGCGACCGTTGGTCACGTGTCACACCGCAGCCAATCAGAGCTTGCCTCTGAATTTTGAAAGCTGGGCGTTCCAGAGCGATTTCTGGTGGATTACGTCATAGATATCAGCAAAACAATATGGCGCGAACGTGTGCCTTTTCACGACGCTCACATTGCCAAGACAAAACGCGAAGTCATCAGGCGGCACGATCAAACAAGCCTCTGTTGTGAAGCAACTTGAAACCCAATTACGTTAATCAAAATTACGTTTATATTGCCGCGAATTTCAAACGAGTCAAACTTATCGTTCCTTTTTAGAAGAAATATTCTCACTGCCAAAGGTGAAGTTATACAGCAGACTGGGTGGTGTGGTTTGTAGTGGGAAAAAAAAATCCCAAACTGAATCATCTGGTTATTTATAACACTGTAAGCACCATCTCTTAACAGTTGTCTTCCATTGTACCCTTTTTTGTTGATGCAGCAAGTTGTTTATTTGTTAGGAATATTCTAAATGAACCATTTGGTATGGATCTCTAGCCTCTTCACCTGCAGAGTGGAGCAATAGTGATGGAAAGTTAAGAGTCACAGATTTGTTTACAAATAGCATTTACTGTACACTTTTAACATTTGAAGGCATCCCCCAAATGTTTTTATGAGGGGAAAAATACACAACATAATTCAGATTATTAAAATCCTATGTACACATGAGAGCAACTTTCATCTGTGAAAACAAATAGAAGGAAGACTCATAATTTCTCCCACTTATAAAGTTAAACAGTCTTTTTTTTGTCCATAAGGAGTTCATCAATCATCCAGGCCTGGTGACTCTCCCTGCTGTATCCTTGATGCTATCCTAATGGCTTCCTCCAGCGACGGCTGATCAGTCAGCTACAGGAAGAAAAGACAGAAAGCAGCATTACAACAATATTTAACACAGACTGGTGTGTATTACTCTATCAGGGTCTTTTGTTGCATTTGTTTACTCTAAACCCATCTTTAAACTGATGATGTTACAGACGGTTGTATTTCAGGATAGGGAAGACTGTTTTGTAATTTACAAATACAATAAATAAGTTCACAATAAAAAAGGCCGATTATCAGACTTTGATCTAATTAGTGTGATTAGGGATTTATGGCTCTTTCGTGGGAGTCGTTCATTAGTCGGTCGTTTACCTCAAAGAGCCGTTCAAAAGACTGGCTCCTTTGAAAGAAGCGAAGCAAAGAGAGCAACGTGTTGCGGCGGTGTCCGTGAGGGTGCACGGGGTTGTTTAGTGCTCCTCCTACGTCCGTGACAGTGGTGGGTGGTGTTTGAGCGGCTGCGCTTTACTGACTTCTGGGGAGGTTTGTTACCGGAAGACAAGATGAACAGCTCTCTAGAGGGAATCTGCTCTCATCGTTCACTTTGAAAACCCGTTCAAAAGATTCGATTCGTTCATGAACGTCACACCACTAGAGCTAATCATGCCCCCCACCCACGTCCGACAGGCCTGCTTTACTACATCTCAAAACTCCAACCATAAAATGGATATTAGTATTTTGGAGGCATGCTGGTGGCTTTCTCAGATCTGAATTAGAGGCCGGCTGATATATTCAGTTTTTTCTATGTCGGCCAAAATTATTTTAAAAAGCCGATAAAGTTTTTTTTAATTTAAAAATCAGGCACCTGTGTGGCCAACTGCCGCCACAACTAGACTGAAGAAAGGACCCTAAGGATCACAACACAAAGTTTTATGTTTTATGTTTGAAGTTCAATAAATAGTAAGCGATTTATTGACTTGTTTAATTTATATTGTACACAGTGAGTGTTCAGTTGTCTTTCACAATCAATGTGCTGCTAAAACATATATCGGCCTTAATAAATATAGATATAAATATTAGATATCATCTATCTGCAACAAAATTCTTTAAAAATCGGTATCAGCCTTAACAAACCATATCGGTCTGCCTCAGATCTGACTTACATGGGAACTGAAACGTTCCTTCTGACCTTAATCCTTTCTGGAAACTTTCAACAATTCACGTAAATAGTTTAGCAGGGTGGGCTGCAAGAAAGGATTTTAGAGGTGCTAGGGGTGGAAGGGTCAGCGATGACTCACAGCAGTTAGACAGGACAGCGTCACCCTTCTTAAATTGGGGGAAGTCTAGGCTCAAAATTACAGCAGCAGGAGCAGGGATGTCTGCTTCAGCTTTAGTTAGTCAACAGGCTGGGATTTATGTCCAATACGTCTCAATTAAAGTTTCATCCCAAATGTTTTTTTTTTTTTTTTAGTAAAAACTGAATCGAAGTTTACGCAGAATAAAAAGTACACCAGGAACAGGTAAGCTGGTCTCTCAGGTGCTAATCCTTTCTAATAAACCGTTGACCTCCTGACCTGTACAGCGATGTGTGTGCCGTTGGAGGTGGCCAGTAAAGTGACGGGATGAATGTTGTCTTGTTCTTGGCTGTAGCTTGCTTCCTCCACAGTGTGGAACGTGGCCATGTCGGGCGTCATGATGGCCACCTGAGGGCCACAGAAATATGCTTTACTATTGATGAACCAAATTAACTTCTGTTACCTGTGTGGTGTGTTCAGAAAGCAGCTGGAGCTCTGGGAGGAAAACACAGCAACAGCACTGCCATGCTTCAGGCCTGCATTGCATCCAATGACCAGTAGGGAGCTTCTTCAGGAAAATCGGCAAAGATACGGAACATATTTCTTGTTTTAATCTTTTCAGTGGCCTAGTGGTACAGTGTTTGCCTTGGGACAGGGAGACCGAGGTTCAAGACTGGTCGGGTCACAGCAAAGACTTTAAAAATGGAACCCAATGCCTCCCTACTACACTCAGCTTTAAGGGGTTGGATTGGGGGATTAAACCACCAAATAGTTCCTGAGCACAGCCACTGCTGCAGCTCATAACTCCCCACAGGGATGGTCCAAATACGGAGATGAATTTCAACCCATTGCTGGAGTTGCTCCGGGTGAGAGGCGGAGGGCTGGGGTTGGCTTTTTGTAAGCCCCAAGACTCTCTGCCTGTGTGTTGGGGTTTACCCCGGGGGACGAGAGGGTAGCTTCTAGGGATGAGCCGGATACTCGTTTTCAGACGAGTATCCGGTACGTAAAAAGCATTTTTGACGAAAACGAGCATGAAACGAGTAAAACTCGTAAATATCTGTAATCGTGCTGAAAGAAAATCCTCATTGGGTAACTGACTGTCTTCACGCCCTGTGATTGGCCAGTCACATAGCGCCCGCCCCTCCCTACACACAAAACTGCAGCCGGCCGGGAGCGCAGTCCGTCCGGCTCATCCACGCACAGACAGTAACGGATCTCGCTGTGCTTGCTTCACTGTTGCTCACGTTTCTTCAGTTTTCCCTAGGTTTTCTTCAGCTCACCTCTTTTTCGGTTGAATATTTAAAGTTACTTTTTTCGTAACTTACGTGGTGCATTTGACAAGACAGAGCTGACGAGCTGTAGTCACTACCTCCGCTCCGGTCGGGTTTTTTATTATTTTTTTAACTCACTGGAAGCAGTGGCAGTTGCCGAGGCAAAATCTCGGGTGTGGGAGGAGTTTGGTGAGGTCATGGAGAAAGACTATTGATCAGCTCCAAAGAGGTTCTGGCAAACTGTCCGGCGCCTCAGGAGAGGAAGGCAGCAACTCGCTCACACCGTTTACAGTGGGGATGGGGAGCTGCTGACATCAACTGAGGCTATAGTCGAACGGTGGAAGGAATAGTTTAAGGAGCTCCTCAATCCTACCGATGCGCATTCCGAGGAGGAACCAGAGCCGGGAGACCTGGGGATGGACTGTCCTATCACAGGGGCAGAAGTTGCTGAGGTAGTCAAACAACTACACAACGGCGGAGAATCGGGGCGGATGAGACTTGTTCTGGGTATCTCAAGGCTATGGATGTTGTAGGGCTGTCATGGTTGACACGTCTCTGCAACATTGCGCGGTCATTGGGGGCAGTTCCTGTGGAGTGGCAGACCGGGGTGGTGGTCCCCATCTTTAAGAAGGGTGACCTGAGAGTGTGTTCCAACTATAGGGGGATCACACTCCTCAGTCTCCCTGGAAAGGTCTACTCCAAGGTACTGGAGAGGAGGGTCCGATCGATAGTTGAATCTCAGATTGAGGAGGAGCAATGTGGTTTTCGTCCTGGCCGTGGAATTGTGGACCAGCTCTATACCCTTGCAAGGGTGATGGAGGGGGCATGGGAGTTTGCCCAACCAATTCACATGTGTTTTGAGGATTTGGAGAAGGCTTATGACCGTGTCCCCAGGGGCACCCTGTAGGGGACGCTCCGGGAGAATGGGGTGGGTGGCTTTCTGTTAAGGGCCATTCAGTCTCTTTACCAGAGGAGCGCGAGTTTGGTCCGCATAGCCGGTAGTAAGTCGGACCTGTTCCCGGTGAGGGTTGGACTCTGCCAGGGCTGCCCTTTGTCACCGATTCTGTTCATTACCTTTATGGACAGAATTTCTAGGCGCAGCCGTGGTGTGGAGTGTGTCGAGTTTGGTGACAGGAGAATCTCGTCTCTGCTTTTTGCGGATGATGTGGTCCTCCTAGCTTTATCCAGCTCTGACCTTCAGCTCTTGCTAGGTAGGTTCGCGGCTGGGATGAGGATCAGCACCTCCAAATCTGAGACCATGGTTCTCGACCGGAAAAGGGTGGCTTGCCAACTCCTGGTCGGGGGAGAGGTCCTACCTCAAGTGGAGGAGTTTAAGTATCTCGGGGTCTTGTTCACGAGTGAGGGTAGGAGGGATCGGGAGATTGACAGGCGGATTGGTTCAGCATCTGCAGTGATGCGGACGCTGAGCCGATCTGTCGTGGTGAAGAGGGAGCTGAGCCAGAAAGCCAGGCTCTCGATTTACCGGTCGATCTACATCCCAATCCTCACCTATGGTCATGAGCTTTGGGTAATGACCGAAAGGACGAGATTGCGGATACAAGCGGCCGAAATGACTTTCCTCCGTAGGGTGGCCGGGCTCAACCTTAGAGATAGGGTGAGGAGCTCGGACATTTGGAAGGGACTCGGAGTAGAACCGCTGCTCCTCCAGATCGAAAGGAGCCAGTTGAGGTGGTTTGGGCATCTGGTCAGGATGCCTCCTGGACGCCTCCCCGGGGAGGTGTTTCAGGCATGTCCTGCTGGCAGGAGGCCCCTGGGTTGACCCAGGGCACGTTGGAGAGGTTACATCTCCAATCTGGTCTGGGAACACCATGGGGTCCTGCCGGAGGAGCTGGTGGAGAAGGCCGGGGAGAGGACTGTCCTGAGCTCCCTAGTTGGGATGCTGCCCCCACGACTCGGACCCGGATAAGCGGAGGAAGACGATGACGAATTTCACCAGTGTCTAATGATGACTAAAAGGACTAACTTTTACTGTTTAAAAAGATATTTATGGTCTATGTTGCTTGTTTTAGGATGTAAATTTTAAATAATAATGAAGCTGGAAAGAATCAGTTAAAAAAAATCACCTCATAGCTTTAAAGGTGTGCTTAACTGAAAAAAACATTTTAAATGTTTTTTCTGATTAAAATCAGTCACTCTGCAGGCTGAACATGAGAATAGTCTCCTACACCTATCACCTGCATTAGCTTCTGATACGACAGTGAAATTCAAGGATTTGAAAAGCCTGATAGATCTACGTCACACTGTCACTTAACATTCATGGACTCATGACTCACGACAAGAAAGGCTGTTGTTGGTTTAGTGTCGAGGAAACAGCAGAGAACTTCTCAGATAGTTTAAGCTAACTGTTAGCATTATCAACACATCCACAAAGCAGCCGGTCCTCCAGGCTTTAAAACCATCAAGTCAGTGGTAGAGTGGTGTTGCTGTTATCCAATTTGGGCGAGATGTCCAAATATCATGGAGTAAGACTTCAAAACCTGCTGTCAGAAGCTCAGCTGTGACGTGGGCCACTTTGATGTCCAAGAAATGCTGCACTGGTACAGTGACCGTTTATAATCAGAAAAAAACATTGGAGAAATGAATTACTCCCACAAGAACCACCAACATACTGATAAGAAGAACTTAATCTAATTAACTCAGGAAGAACTTTGTTTCTAAAGAAACTGAAAGTCATAGTCACCACCCAGTGGCCATCAGAGGCCTTACACTTTGAGGAGTCTGTTGTTGGAACATAGATGTTTTTGTAGCTGTGTATTAATGCCACTCAGGGTTGATAGAAGAGGGTTTTCTTCTGTTTTCTTACCAGCTTTAGGATTATAGGGAGAAAAGGTTAAATAGCCTTTTAAAAAAGTAGTGGTGCTACTACAGCTGTAAAAGTTACCCAACTCAAACTTTATTCATGTTTTTACAGTTTCCTTAAGTGAAGTGAAGAAGTGGGCGATTCTAAACCATAAAGAGAGTACATCCATTCTTCTGAAGAAAAGCCCCGACTCCAGTCCCGAGTTACTGATCAACAGGAACTCCCTGCATGTGGATGCTTAACAAACCATCTCAGACTGTTGTGTGTAATGAGCACAAGAGGATGTGTGTGCGAGCCCCCCCCACCCCCCACACACACAATATAGGTAAACATAAAAAAGCATTGGCCCTGTTGTTAACGACAAAGCTTTAACGTGTCTTTACCTGTTCATCTGTGCTGTCTGCTGCTGCTACCAAGGTAACCGAATGAGCACCTTGTGTTGCCAGTTCATGAGCTGGGATGGTTATGGTTGTGCCCTCCTGGGTTACCATGGTGATTGTTCCACCCATTGCTTGCAAGTCTGCTTCAGAGATACTGACCTGAAGTGAAGTGAAGCACAGACAGAACAACATCCGGTTTGACGGTGAATAACTTCACGTGTTCATGAAACTTCTCAAATCATTCCGTTTAAACTGGTGGGATTATTTTAACATAGCAGAGTGAGCCAGAGGACTAAGCATTGCAGCAAGAAGGCTACTGGGCTGAATGTGGGCTGTGAGGAGTTGGCATTAGGGCTGCAACAAACGATTATTTGGATAATCGATTAATCGGACGGGGTCTCGACACGATTAATCGGATTACATGGGGAAATTTTTAAAAACTGCTAGGGAAACGTTATTTCTCTCCTTCCTTCACTTTATTTAACACAACATTATTAGAAAACAGTTCAATAGCAGAAAAACAACATGCCATCACCTAAATTGTCTTATAAGGTGTATAGACAGAGACCCTAAGCTACATCTATCTGTGACCTAAAATGCTTGGTCCAAGTTAAACAGCTTAAGGGCAATTCTCATCTGTTTTGTTTGATCTCATCTGTTGACATTTATTTTAAATGTAATTAAACATAGGCTGTGAATTAATCAAAATTGATCACTATTTCCAAAAATGACTGAAAAAATACCAAATAAAACAAAAGTAAATGAATGCCATCCTCCTTGCGATGATGCCCTGGGCAACTGCCATAAAGTCACATCAAGAAATGCTGCTGATCATTCCAATGATCCCAAATAGACTCACATTAGGCCACATGAAAGCAACTGAACCCAAAAATATATTAACCAGTATATAACTGCACTCTCACACAACACGCCTGCAGCAACAGTTAGGACTCCTCCCTCCCTTTTAAAAGCGTTTTTGCTTCTGAGGACATTGTGGTTGTAAAACCACATGCTAGTAGTCTGGCCCCGGTGTGATCAACCAGTTTCTGCGGGAATGTGACGGCGGAACCAGGGCCAGATTAACACTTTGTTGTACCCTGGGCAACAATATTCAAGGGCTCCATCATCACGACCCAAGGATCACCATAATGTGGTCACATACAGAATATTTTACTGTAATATGCAGTAAATATACTCAATACTTGAATGCCTGACATCACATAACCCGCCCAGAGTAACCTTTGACCCACCTCGTGTGGACTGACCAATGAGGAGAGGGTCTTAACTTGAGGCCCTCTCTTCATTGGTCAGTCTGCATGAGACTGACTCTCAACTGACGTTCAGTCGTAGGCAGCGAAGCGTCTCTGTGCAGCGCAAAAGCCCGGGTGGACAGTTTGTTTAATATAGGGTGATCATATTTCCATTTCCAAACAAGAGGACAGGGGATCTGTGCCTATGACGTCACACTATGGCAACGCCACACAAACCATGTTGGGACCCAATTTTTTGTAAGAACTAAATTAATATCAGATTCTGCCAATAAAAGGGCTCTAAAACAATTCATGTGTAAATATTTTGCATATTTAATGCAAAATCTCATTTTTATGCTTTAGTGCTGCAACAAGGTTTTATTAATAATAAATTATTATACCTTTTGTTTTACTACAGCATCGGTAAGCTTCCTGTGCACAGATTATTAAGGATGCTTGTTTCAGCTGTGAGATTAGACGATAGGATCAATGATAAAATAAGTTGTCACACACTCCATGGAAACTTTCAGATAATCCACAAATAGTGGCTTTCAAATGGTTTTGTTACTTTTTGCAAGTTTAGAAAAGAAGCAGATGAGACAGCATGTCTGATAATTTAGTTTTTCATCTGATAATATTAGAACATGTCAGTAATGTCTGAGGGGCTTTTACAAACACTGTATAACTAACACTACTGAAGAGGGTATGGATTACACAGAGGCTTCTGGGGAGCCCAGTTATGGGGGGGGGGGGACATTTTGCCTTGGCCCCCAAAATGTCTTGAAACGGCCCTGGGTGTGTGACTGAGTTTTGAAGGTGATCTGAATTGTATCAGATGTATAAATATGACATGTGTATAACTTATTGTTTTTTACTGGTAAAAACGTGTAGTGGAGATAAATCTACCTACATTTTACTTTGTTTTCTTGTTTTTATTGAACTATTTTCCTGTCCTGTCTGTCTCTCATCTTCCTGCATCTCCTCATAATTCTCCAGAAAATCTGTTGCCTGGATTCTTACTTTTTCACCTCATCAGTTACTTTTGAGCAGATCAAAGAGATCTCCTGACCGCAAAGCTCAGAGCGCGTTTTCGATGCTGCGTGAGGTGACATCACCACAGCACAGGTGATGAGCTCCGCAGTAGCGCGCTTCAGGCACAAATAAGACAGAAAGTAGAGAACATGTGCAGACATGAACGATCGTGTGCTAATTATAGTTTTTTGGTTGCGCCACTTTGAGAATGGACCGTGCGCTGGCTGCCTGGATCGCTGCGCAACAATGCGGAACCGGTTCGCAGCAGCGCAAGTCTGCAGGCTCTCCCTCGCGCTGATCTGCCAGTACCGGCTCTCTCTCGCGCTGATCTGCGGCTCTCCCTCGCGCTGATCTGCCGGTACCGGCTCTCCCTCGCGCTGATCTGCCGGTACCAGCTCTCTCTCGCGCTGATCTGCGGCTCTCCCTCGCGCTGATCTGCGGGTCTCCCTCGCGCTGATCTGACTTGCTCTGGTCTGTGCGCAACGGCGGGTGGGAAGGGGGGGAGCTTTTGGAAGAGTTGTGCGACACAACGAATCGATGACACAATTCGTTGCCAACGCTTTTAGTAATCGATTTTCATCGAATTTATCGATTCGTTGTTGCAGCCCTAGTTGGCATGTCCTCCCCGTGCAGGAGGGCAAGAATACAGCACTTGTACAATGACTCCCCTCTGGCTGTTCACAAATGCACCAATACAGCTGGCCACCAGCCATGATGTACACCTTAAGCCCTTTACACACATGGTCCATTTCTGTTCTGTGACTACGCTGATTAGCATGTCAGATGATGACCAGTAGCGGGTTGATTTTAAACTTCCAACATCCCTGAGCCTATCAGCTGTTTTCAGGGTGAAGCATCAGTAAACAGTCTGTTAGGAGGAACGTATGCACTGTGATAACACCGCAGGAATAAGACTACTTTATACATCTTTGGTGTGTTCTTACTGTGTTTAGTTTCTAATTCTTTTTAAAACACAGGAAAGGTTCTTCTTTACCTTGCTGACGTACGTTTCGTTTGTCGACTGCAAAACTTCCTCTGAGCTGACGCTGATGGTGGCGTCACTTCCTACTCCGTTTATCTGCGGGCAGCAGAGGACGTTGTCGCCCTCTACTGCCCGCTCTCCCCTCTCCGATGTTCAGCATCAGCTCTGAGGATGTTTTGCAGTCGGCAAACGAAACGTACGTCAGCAAGGTAAAGAAGAACCTTTCCTGTGTTTTAAAAAGAAGCAAAAATGGAATAAGACTACTTTATTTTTACCTGCTGTTGTGTCCCATCTTCCTGAGTTACCAAGGCGACATGCTCCTGACCAACCAAGTCTGACGACTCCACAGGAACCTGCTCTGAGCCAGAATCATCCGCTTCAACTACAGCTGGAGTGTAGCTTACATTTGGATCATCTATGGCATCTGAAAGATGAATTGTTGAATGAATCAAAGCTGCAAACACAAGGCTAGGAGCCTTTGCTCCTGAGTATCTTTACCGACCTGCTGGAGGTTCAAAGTACGCCTCCTGCTCCTCCTCAATGGGCTCGGTGTCATTGTGAGCTGTGCGTTTGTGCATGGCGAGTGTGGAGATCTGCTTGTAGGTCTTCCCACAGTGATTACAGTTGTAAGGTTTACAAGGTGTGTGTACAACGTGGTGTTTATAAAGGCTGGAGTATTCTGTGAAGCGCTTTTCACACCCAGGTACTGTGCACACGTATGGTTTCTCCCCTGCAGGCAAAAAACACACTTTAGCACAAAAAGCTGCAAAACAAATGAATAAATCTCATTTTAGGACATAAACATATGATGTTTACGAAGGGCCCCACCGGTGTGAATCCTCATATGGTTCTTGTAATTGGTGGCACTGGCGAACGTGCGTCCACAGGTAGGCTCAGAGCAGTAGTATGGCCGCTCACCCGTGTGTGTTCGGATGTGAACTTTGCGGATGTTGGAGGTGGTAAACGACCTGCCGCAGCCGTCAACTGGGCACTTGAAAGGCTTTTCACCTGTCAGACAACAAAACAAAGGACAAAAACAAACATTAAGCAGTAGTTTCATCCAAATAAATCTCCATACAACACAGAAACTTCTAATGAAGCTAAAGAAACCTCGGGTTTTCCTAAATGAGATGCTGAAATACTCCATGTCCTTATAATTCTGCAGATGTGCTGTTTTTAGTTTCTATCAGGTCAGGGTTAGGGTTCCTTCCCTTCAGCACTTTGCTGTAGAAAATATCATCTACATCCAACACACCCGTGGTCTCTAGCCAACCTTCGAGCATCAACACACTTTGCTGTTTTAGAAACCAGTGGCATGTGACTATTTTGGACCAAAATATGATCATTTCGATGCCACGCACTCCTCAGAAAGGGTTCTTTGTTTTAAACAAGTTCAAATATCTGTAATCAGCAGCAGGCTGCAGTCAGTCCCAGTACTGCCCATCTGGATTTAGCATTGTACAAATAAGATGTATTCCAAGTAGGGCTGCAACAAACGATTATTTGGATAATCGATTAATCGTATGGGGTCTCGACACGATTAATCGATTAATCGGATTACATAGGGACATTTTTAAAAACTGCTAGGGAAACGTTATTTTTCTCCTTCCTTCACTTTATTAAACACGCCATTATTAGAAAACAGTTCAATAGCAGAAAAACAACATGCCATCACCTAAATTGTCTTATAAGGTGTATAGACAGAGACCCTAAGCTACACCTATCTGTGACCTAAAATGCTTGGTCCAAGTTAAACAGCTTAAAGAGCAAGTCAACCCCTACCAGAGTCTAACTCCACTCCCGCTTCATGTTTGAAAAATGCAACACATGCTGTTGCCTAGCAGACCGAGAGGGCGGAGCCGCTAACAAATACACACACACTCAGGCTCACAACAGCATTGTGACATCATAATGTACCAGTTTACATCATAGCATACTTCTTAGCCAATAGCGGTGGCAGATTTAAATTAAAATACAGTGCAGAGTTTTTACCTGACAATGGCACAACACTGCCAGTTTGAGGCAGAATATTTAAATTTTAACTAAGATGCAATGAAGTGCCAAATTATTGATGACACGTGTCTGCAGCACAATTAGACACTCGTTTATTTAGTTTATCAGCAAAAAAAAGTTTATTTGGGGGTGACTTGCTCTTTAAGGGCAATTCTCATCCGTTTTGTTTGATCTCATCTGTAGACATTTATTATAATTGGGGATGTCAAACAACTAATTTTTAAATGTAATTAAACATAGGCTGTGAATTAATCAAAATTAATCACTATTTCCAAAAATGACTGAAACAATACCAAATAAAACAAAAGTAAATGAATGCCATCCTCCTTGCGATGATGCCCTGGGCAACTGCCATAAAGTCACATCAAGAAATGTTGCTGATCATTCCAATGATCCCAAATAGACTCACATTAGGCCACATGAAAGCAACTGAACCCAAAAATATATTAACCAGTATATAACTGCACTCTCACACAACACGCCTGCAGCAACAGTTAGGACTCCTCCCTCCCTTTTAAGAGCGTTTTCGCTTCTGAGGACATTGTGGTTGTAAAGCCACATGTTAGTAGTCTGGCCCCGGTGTAATAACCAGTTTCTGCGGAAATGTGACGGCGGAACCGGTTCGCAGCGGCGCGAGTCCCCCCCCCCCATCTAATAGCGTCGCGCTTACAATTTTATAGACTTTTTTTAAGAGCTTAGGGCATGTCTAGCGTGTGTAATAATCCGGGGCTTGGGTGAATCACATTTGAAAAGTTTTTAACTTACCCGGACACCGAGCTCTCTCCTTCCTCGCTGATGATTCTGACATGCTTGCGTTTAAGACGCTGCATCATCACCGTAGTATCCCCGTGCCATGCTAAGTCTGACCTACAAACATTGCATGTCTTCGCCTGATTTAACTGAAAATGCTCCCAAACTTTAGAAGTTTTTACTTTTTTGGGGTCTCGCTGCTTCTGCCATGTTCCTCTTACAAACACCTGCCGGCTCTCCACCGGTCTGCGTGCAACGGCGGGCGGGAGGGGGGGGGGGCTTTTGGAAGAGTTGCGCAACACAACGAATCGATGACGCAATTCGTTGCCAACGCTTTTAGTAATCGATTTTCATCGAATTTATCGATTCGTTGTTGCAGCCCTAATTCCAAGACGTTAACACCAAGATTCATCCGGCTCAAATAAAGAAAAGGTGGTTCAGGAAGCATGAGAGATCATCACATGTGTATCGACCTCCAGAGCCCGAACCTTAATCCCACTGGGAATTTTTGGGATGTGCTGGAGAAGGCTTTGAGCAGTGCTCTGGCTCTCCCATCATCAATTCAACAAATAGCTATTTTTGCAGAAGTCCACTGAAACCATACCAGAGAATGCCTGCCGTCACCACAGCTAATTATTAACGAGTGTGTGAGGTTTTAGTTTGCTTGGGCAGAGTACAAGATGGCAGCTTTAAAGACTAATGTTTCCAGGTGTGTACCTGTATGAGTCCTTGTGTGCTTTTGAAGGTCTCCAGAGGTTTTAAAGGACTTGCAGCAGTTCATCTCCTGACATCTGTATGGCTTTTCCCCGGTGTGTGTGCGTGAGTGACTCTTCAGTCCATAACCTGAAATGACCACAAAGATTAAAGGTTTTGAAAATCAGATAATACATTTCAACAACCAAAACTGAGGATTTGATGAGAAGAAAAGCGATAAACAAACACCCCTAAAAACGCTATCTGTCAAATCAAAGTGCAAAAAATATCGAACAATAATTGTCTACCTGTTGCAAACTTCTTCCCACAGCCACGAAATTCACAGATGTATGGTTTGTCACCTGTGTGGGAGCGCTCATGTACCTGTTGAAAAAATGTAAACAAACATTTAACAGTTACGCTCTCACAGCAGGACACTGAGGAAATATCCTGTAAGGATCTTCAGACAATAACATATAACTAGAAGCAAAGGGTTCACTAATACTAACACGATCTGCACGTTGGTTTACCTTGAGGTGGTGGGCAGTGGTGTAGAGCTTTCCACAGCCTTCATAATCACAGTGGAAGGACTTCTCTCCTACATGGGACACTCTTGCTGGCCTGTGGTCCTGACCCTGTAGCACTATCTAAACACAGGAGGCATACTGGGACTGAATATTGGATCGAAGAAGTGGAAACTGCTCTTTGAGCTTCTATAGAGCTCCGGACATCACGTGACTCTCAGAGAGTAGACGCCATGTTGGCAGGCAACAAAGGTAAACAAAATGAACGGGATCGGCTTGGATTTTACTCCGTCGGAGTTTACTTCACACTTTAAAACGGAATAAATCGTTTTATATAGCCAGAAATTAAATAGACTAAACATCTCTGACCCTTACCGTGCCCCTGGGATACTTTTTAAAAACGCCAGAAGCTGTCGGAGCGGACCTCTTACCGGATATGAGATACCCTGACATTTATAATTTCCTTGTTAATTGTCCCTCGTCCTACTCCGGAGCGTCGCTAAGAGCATATAAAAGCCTGGAGGGATACAAATGGACTCAGTCAGGGTTTGTTGTCGGTATCCAGATCTGGATTCTTCCTGCAAAGGACAGCGCTGTTGTCACCGGGAGGGTAAGTGGAGATTTTTGTTACCATTAGCAACAGCCCGTTGCAAGGTTATGTCTGTGTGAAACGTCGTGTGTGTTCATGAACCTCAGAAAAATAACTTCAGTATTTTCTTAAAACAGATGCAAAACAGAGCCGTCAACTTGCATCACTTAACTCTTTAGATGCCAAAGGTGCAAAATTGTGACAAGCACCATTTCTGACTGTAACGAGCCACAGTTCAGTCATTCTGCCAGGAGATGGCAGACTTCTGTAATCTCAGGCACCTTTTATGTGTGTCATCATGTAAAATGTTGGAGCAAATACAGCTTGAAATAACACATTTTAAATGTGTCCTTACAAATGAAACAGGTGTTCTTACCAGCTTCTAAAAAATAAAATCCAACGTTTGCGGTGCTCCGGATCTTGGGGAATCCTGTAGAAGGCTCTTCCCTCATCTCGTCCGCGTCTGTTCTGCATCCTGGGGCGCAACAGGAATCTACCATATTTACCGTTTGATTGGCTTTTCTGACAATAACAAATAGCCCAGCTGCGGGCTTCTGCCTGCCAAGATGGCGCCGTTTGATTTGAACTGTTGCCTGCTGGGAGAAGTGACGTCAACTCCCGGAGCTCTATATAACACTTGGAATTTTTGTTAGGATCTCAGATAAATGTCCAAAGAGAACCCCATAATAAAGTCCTGCAGTGGAAGGACTGGTTTGCCCCGCCCAGCTCAGCCAGAACATGAATATGAAATGACTTTGTGCTGATTGAGCGGTTGACCCAGATGGCTCTGTGACATCCTGATGCTACAAACTCTTGTCTGTCTATGGATCTGTCTGGCACTCATTCATATTCTGCATATTCCCAGGACATCCTGAACATTACACATGTGCTCCAACAGTCTTGTTTTCCCTGAGGTCCCACAAGAATGCTAGTAGTAGCTCATGCCAGCGTTAGCGGTAGCTCAGGCTAGCATTGTTATGTAGTATAGTGATGATGCAGAAGTGGGTTGGGACATGCTAAATTAGGGTCTGCGTCTAAGCTTTACACGCTAAAGCAGCTTTTCTGAGACAGCACAGGCTTTTGGTACGGTACGTCAAAACGTAGCGTACCCAAAGCCGTGTTCTTTGGAACAACAAGCTGAACGTGGTTAAAATTCTACTACACCTTTAACTGAAAAACACTTTACCCGCATGTGGACACTGCTGTCTGCTTCCATTTGGCCAAAGGGCCCCAAAGGGTTTTCTATGTTCTCCACCTGACAGGAGAAACAGCAGACATTTTGTCATTAGTTTGTTGGAAAGAATACACTTTAAAAATCTGTAAACGTGAATGTGTCTGTATGTTCAATTAAAATATTTTCTTCCATCGCAGACAAATAAATTATTATTTTCCACAAAAAATAACTCGGAACACACAGAGGAAGGGAGATGCTGAATCTGACTGTATTCCACATGAAACAAGATTTTAAACCAACCTTGGTACTATATTGCTCAAGAACACTGATGGTTTCAGGGTCGATGGCTGTGGCTTCAGCCTGCAGATCGGCAATGGTACCGTCAGCCTGGATGGCCAGGATGGTGCTGGGCTGAGGCATGTGCACCGTGTGCTGGATGTAGGCGGTGCTTCCATCCTCCAACTGGACCTCCTGCAAGCCACTCTGGTCATACGTTTCTGTATGCGGAAAAACACCAAGAACATTAATGATCAAAATAAAAAAGTAACTAGGCTTCGATCCTGATAAAAAAAAAAACTCAGAGAGAAAATCTTATTTCCTGAAAGAAATCATCAACATTTAAGACCTCATTTAGTCATATGTACAAGGACAGGGGGATTGGTGATGCGTTTGCAGTGATGTGGGCATTGTACCGGTCTGTCATGGTGAAGAAAGAGGCGAGTTGGAAAGCGAAGCGCTCGATTTACCGGCTGATCTACGTTCCCACCCTCACCTATGGTCACGAGCTTTGGGTAGTGACTGAAAGAATGAGATCGCAGATACAAGCGGCCAAAATAAGTACAGGGTGGCTGGGCTCTCCCTTAGAGATTGGGTGAGAAGCTCAGTCATCCGGGAGGGGCTGGAAGTAGATCCGCTGCTCCTCCACATCAAGAGGAGCCAGTTGAGGTGGCTCAGGCATCTGATTAGGATGCCTCCTGGATGCCTCCCTGGTGGTTTTCCAGGCATGTCCAACCAGGAGGAGACCTAAAGGAAGACCCTGGACGTGATGGTGGGACCATGTCTCTCGGCTGGCCAGGAACCTTTGGGATCCCTCCGGTGGAGCCAGCCCAAGTAGCTGGGGAGAGGTAAGTCTGCTTAGGCTACTGCCCTGCGACCCAAACCCAGATAAGCAGAAGAAAATGGATGGATGAGATCAAGAACAGCTTATCCTTGAGTTAAGATTATTGTTTACATTATAAAATACACTCCAGAGATTTAAAAATATATCGAGCACTAGGGCTGCAACAAACGATTATTTGGATAATCGATTAATCGGACGGGGTCTCGACACGATTAATCGATTAATCGGATTACATGGGGAAATTTTTAAAAACTGCTAGGGAAACGTTATTTCTCTCCTTCCTTCACTTTATTTAACACAACATTATTAGAAAACAGTTCAATAGCAGAAAAACAACATGCCATCACCTAAATTGTCTTATAAGGTGTATAGACAGAGACCCTATAAGCTACATCTATCTGTGACCTAAAATGCTTGGTCCAAGTTAAACAGCTTAAGGGCAATTCTCATCTGTTTTGTTTGATCTCATCTGTTGACATTTATTATAACTGGGGATGTCAAACAACTATTTTTTAAATGTAATTAAACATAGGCTGTGAATTAATCAAAATTGATCACTATTTCCAAAAATGACAGAAAAAATACCAAATAAAACAAAAGTAAATGAATGCCATCCTCCTTGTGACGATGCCCTGGGCAACTGCCATAAAGTCACATCAAGAAATGCTGCTGATTCGGACCTTTTTTCATCTTCCGGTGAAGATGGTTGGCTAGAAGACGTGTTTTCACTGTGCTCCCGCTCCCACCTGTATTTTTTACAGTGTTATGCGCGATACTGTCTATATTTTTATCTAAAATACTGACTGAGAGTTATAGGAATACGCAACAGCCATAATTACGCTTTTTGGATGACAAGTAATGTCGAAACAGACGAAGATACAGACTCGAAAGACGACGGCCGCCATGATGAACAACAGTGCTAGCCAAACGGACATGCTAGTAGCAATGGGCGACCAGCCCTCGCCCCCGGTGGACACCGCAGCTCTCATCCGTGAGGTGACTAATAGCACCAGTGAGGTAATTGATCAAAAACTGTCTACACTGTCCGGGACGCTGGAGAAAATTTCGTCCTCGCTGGAAAGTGTCTCCAAGCGCGTCACGGAGGCAGAGCAGAGAATCTCTGATGTGGAAGATGGGGTGAATGACCTCGCGGGAAGACTTGTTGAAGCTGAGGGGAAGATTAAGATCATGGCAAAAGGCTTGGATGACTTAGAGAACCGCAGCAGGCACGACAACATCCGCATTATTAATCTGAAAGAAGGCGCGGAGGGTGAGAGTCCTGCTTAGTTTTTTGAAACCTGGCTACCTGCTACGCTTGGGCTGGGCAACAGCTCCACGGGTAAAGCCTGCATTAAAATTGATAGTGCACACCGGGGCCTCGGCCCGCGAGGTACTCGCCCCAGGCCGGTGATTATTAAGCTCCATAACTCCAGAGACAAACAGCGGATCATGGCAGCAGCGAGAGCGGCGCCAGAACTTCACTACGAGGGACAGCGGATCTTTATACACCAGGACTTTTCCTACGCGATCCGTGAGAAACGACGGGGATTTAATGCTTCCTGTCGTGCGTTAATTGACAAGGGCATTCGCTTCAGAATGTGCTACCCAGCGACGCTCGTGTTGAATCATAATGGCACTGAGCATAAGTTTGATTCGCCTAAAGATGCACAAAGTTTCATCAATGCGCTGGATTAAAAGACAACTGATACTTGTCCTGTACAAACTGTGGCACTGTTGGATTTAACTTGGAACATGGCATGGATTCAGCACGCCACAGGATGCGTAAGTCCAATATGTTTAATGCAGCCTGAGGGAAGAGAGACAGTTTAAAGGGAAAATAGAGGTTTGTTCGTCTTTTGTTCCTAAAATGGCTTTAGGGCCAATATCTAGTATAAAGTATTAATTGTTTACTCAGTCTTCAGTTTTTCTCTTTTTTTCACAACTGACAGTAACCTGATCTTATCCAGGTTTGGGAAGCGGGGGTGGGGTTCTGTTTTGTTTTTCCCCCGTGGAGTGAAACTTCTTTTGGCTACACTGGTCTTGTAATACCACCCAGTGGGTGGCTCTTTCGTTCTTGATTTCCTTTTTTTTTTTTTGTGTGTGTGTGTGTGTTTGTTTTTGTTTTGTGATATTTTGATGTCTATCCTAATTCCTATATTCGTATGCAATTTGTTGTGTGTGAAGGTTTCCTTGTCATTCGTTTACGATGGTTTTGTTCATGTCAGCACGGCCAGTCCAGGTCATGGGTTAAATCTTTTACAGTGTGTTTATTATGATGGTTCTTTCTGTTTTATTTTGGGTTGACGATTTTTGTCCAATGACTGACATCTTATACAGTGAGTAACATTAAAATTATGACTCTCAATGTCAAGGGAATTAACCACGTTAAGAGACGCAAAATAGTTTCCTCACTCAAAAAAGATAGAGTGCAGATTGCATTACTGCAAGAGACCCACCTCACAGATTCTGAACACTTAAAACTCAAGCGTGATTGGGTGGGACAAATTTATTTTTCTTCTTTTAACTCTAAAAGTAGAGGGGTTGCAATATTGATCCATAAAAATCTACCGTTCACTCTAAATGCTATTGTAAGGGATACGGACGGACGATTTATTCTGATAACTGGGCTGTTATATGGGGAACAAATTCTATTGGGAAGTGTTTATGCACCAAATACTTTTGATAGATCGTTTTACTCAAACTTTCTGGCGAAAACTTCCTCTGTTTGTCCAAGTCACGTAATAATTGGTGGGGATTTCAACTGTGGTTTGAATCCTGAAACTGATTATAATCCACCAAAATGTCAACCGCCTTCAAAGATGGCAAAGGCTACAATGGACGTCTGCTCAGATCTTGGTCTTTTTGATGCCTGGAGAGTTTGTAATCCGCATGTGAAGGACTTTACATTTTACTCACGCCCCCATTTTTCTTTTTCCAGAATTGATTACGTGTTTGTTTCTAGATCTGCCCTTGAGAGAACTCGGGGTTGTTTGATCAACACATGCACTCTCTCAGACCACTCCTCAGTCTCAATAGAGTTCTTACCACCTTATTATGATCCTTTGTCTAGACACTGGCGGCTAAATCCAGCTCTCCTTAGTGACCCTGAATTTGTTAAATACTTAGAAGATCAGTGGGAACTTTTTCTCTCTACAAATGACTTACCAGGGGTTAGTGCTTCTACTCTATGGGAGGCAGGTAAGGCATTTCTCAGGGGCTCTATTATCTCTTTCACCTCAGCGAAAAAGAAGAGCAACTTAGCCAAACAATTAGTACTTGAACGCGATATTACTAATTTGGAGAGAGAGTTTAAGAAATCCTCGTCTGTTTCTGTGCTTAAAAAATTGGATGCAGTTAGATCAGCCCTGGACCAACTACTAACTCAGAAAGCAGAAACTGCAATGTTTTATGCAAAGCATAGATTATTTGAATCGGGCAACAAACCTGGACGCTTACTTGCCCGACTTGCCCAGGGGAAAAAGGGCTCTTATGCAATACCCTCTCTAAAAGATAAGAATGGTGTTTTACAATTTGAGACTAAGTACATCAGCAAAATAATGAAAGAGTTCTATCAGGACTTATATTCACCTGAGTGTCAAAATACTGCAGACGTTAGGAAACCGTTTCTTGATAAAGTTAATCTTCCTGTACTATCAGAGGAAAGTCGATTAGATCTTTGCAGTCCTATTAGGACGCAGGAGGTTTTAGATGCAATCAAATCCTTACAGAGTGGAAAAGCTCCAGGCCCTGATGGGTTTGGGCCAGAGTTTTATAAAAAAAAATGGCCAAACACATGGTGGATCCTTTATTGAACAAGTATATAGAATCTCTTGAGAGGGGCACACTCCCACCCACCTTAAACCTTGCCCATATATCCCTGATTTTAAAGAAGGACAAACCTGCAGATCTATGTACATCTTACAGACCTATAAGTTTACTCGGTGTAGATTGCAAGATTTTGTCCAAAATTTTATCTAGACGATTGGAGGAGGTTCTGCCAGTTCTGATAAAGCCTGACCAAACGGGTTTTGTCAAAAATAGATACTCCCGCTCCAATGTACGTCGACTCATAAATATTGTGCAGTTCTCTCAGAACACTAATTATAGGGCTCTTGCAATTTCATTGGATGCTGAAAAAGCATTTGATCGGGTGGAATGGGAGTATCTATTTGATGTTTTGGAAAGATTTGGGTTGGGATCTGAGTTTGTCAAGTGGGTCAAACTGCTGTATGAGGCCCCAGCTGCAAGGGTACTGGTTAACGGCTCGGTTTCAGATGCTTTCCCACTGGGTAGAGGAACGCGTCAGGGATGCCCCCTTTCTCCCTTGCTGTTTGCACTAGCATTGGAGCCGCTGGCAGAGGCTGTAAGAATTGACCC